GTGGGTTGCACAGCATTGGCAGTTTTCATTGTACCCGAAAAGAAAGGAAGTTTTAATAATGAAAGGATTCCTGCCAAAATTCTGTTTGCCACTTGCAGCTCTTACAGAAAACAGGCACAGAATCGCAGGGCATTAGCATCAACAGGGGCTGTAGAAACCATCTGCTCCAAGCTCCTGAAGTCCAGAGATAGAGAGGGACTTAACCAATGCTGCACAGCCTATTAGCTTTTTTCCATTCCACTGTTAACCATGGGAAGAGATGCCTTAGATTCTGAAGGGAGGCGGGAATCCTAATTATACTCCTCAGGGACTCGATGATTTACTTTGCTCTCCTCATTAGCATTTCTATGACATGAATAAAAGACTAAGCAAATAAAAGTCTTTTATTCAAGTCTCCCAGAGATTTCCTATTTGGATATTTGCTATTTGACCACTTTAAAATGATAGAAGTAGACAAAAGCATATACTCCACAACTCAGTCCATCAGTAGTGGACTTACCAGATGGTCAATGTCACTGAGATGGCTGAGAAATAGGAACAGATGTGGAGAAAGGAGTGGCAGTCTGTTAGCTGTTTTCTCTAACCTCTGAAGCCAGATTCCGTGTGGACCAGTGATGCCTACTTATAGGAGCCTTTGTGCTGATTCTGTGTTGTCATCAGTGTACATAGAGAATTGCTTCTTGAGAAATCCCTCTTCCTCATGCAGCCAAGAGAGAATGGAGAGGAAATTAGGCTTCTTTTCTGTCTTGATCAGAAAGTCCACATCAGTGGGATTTTCTGAAAGACCCAGTTTTTAAAAATTAGAATTTCTGTATTTTGGAGTTGTTTTGAAAGATGTCTTAAGGAGAAAACTAAGAACCAAAGAGGAGACGATGTATTTTTGGTTTCAAGTGATAAGAACCTAGCTCCAATGAGCAAAGCTAAATGAGACTTTAATTAGGAAGGCATACTGAGCTAACAGAATCAAGGAAGAGGAGATCGGCCAAGCCTCCAGAAGCCAGAATCAGGGTCCAGAAAACCATAGGCCACACTCTTTCTCACCTTATGTCTTTGCTTCTCTCTGCATTATGGCCCTGTTTCCTCTTCTTCCTATAACCAGAATTTACACATGGGTTGAGGATAGGCCATCACAGTTTTAGTCCATGTATACTCAAAAGGAAAGAAAATGGGTCTTATTCATTTATTTATCGAGTTGGTGTCTCACTCTGTCGCCCAGGCTGGAGTGCAGTGGCACAGTCACAGCCACCCCGGTGTCAATCTGCTGGGCTCTGGTGATCCTTCCACCTCAACCCTCCAAATAGCCGGAACTACAGCCACATGCTACCGTGCCTGGCTCATTTTTTATTTATTGTAGAGACGAGGTCTTGCCAAGTTGCCTGGGTTGGTCTCGAACCCGCAGGCTCAGGCAGTCCACGCACCTCGGTCTTCCAAAGTGCTGGGATTATGGGCTGAGCCACTAAGTGCGGCCTTAGATCCAATTTTTAAGGAAAAAATCTTAGGGAAAGATTCTGATTGACCCTGCTTGATCACATGCTCCCTCTACTGAGAGACTTCACTAAAATCACCTGGTTTGGGTGAGACGGTAATAGTATTACAAAAGAAGAGATTGCTATTTCCAGAAGAAATGGGAGGAGAAGTGATAGCCTCTGGATTATTTTTATATGTGGTATTGGAGTAAATCTCAGTGTTACTGAGCTGTTCATTCATTTGTATATTTAAAAGATTGCTGCCATGTGGACAATGGACTGTAGCGTAGCCATTTTGTGAGTCAGGAAACTGGTTAGGAACTTTGGTAGTTCTCTACGGAAGAAACAATGGTGGCTTGGACCAAGGTCATGGCAATGGAAATAGAGAAAGGTCGGCAGATCTGAGATATATTTAGAAGTGGAACCAAAGGACTTGCTGCTGGATCAGATGTGGAGACTAAGAAAAAAAGAAAAATCAAGAAGTTAAGAATGACATCTAGGTTTCTTTGAAGACTGGGGTTGAAACAAGTTTGAGGCAGAATCAAGAGTTTCAATTTGGACACGTTAAGTCTGAGATATTGAAATGTCCTGTAGGCACTTAGGTATACATGTCATTACTAAAGACTTAGCATCTAAAACCTTGGGACTAGGTAATGCCTCCAAGAAGAGAGTATGGCTAGAGCAGAAGGCCCAACTGTTCTTTGATCCATCTTTTCTGCACATATTGAATCCTTCTGCTGGGCTTCTGGCAGGAACTTCAGGTAGGAATTACAACCATTATCTACAGTAAATCTTGTGGAATGACAAACCAGATTCATCCCTCAGGGATAGCTAAGAAGTAACCAAATGGAGTGTTTAACACGCATCAACACTTCTTCATTTAGATGTATATTGATTCCTCCAAAGTAGACCCTTTGGACAACTAAATAAATTATGAAACTTCCCTGCTCTAAACCATTTTGACAATTCTCTTTGGGGGTGTCTTCAAAGCCACGTTTTAAGACCCAGAAAATTTACCAGACTTAGTTGCAGATGACTTAGGGTGCTTCTTGTGGTAGATGAAAAATGGCCACAATATTTCATTGCTCCTTCCATCAAGAGATGGTATCTATTTTTCCACCTTTTAAAATTTGGGTTGGTCACTTGACTTGTGTTAACCAGTGGGATATTAGTAAATGATGCAAATGGAGGCTTATAAAGTGCTTCTGCATTCAAACTTGCCCTCTCTTGCAGCTGGAAAACCTTCTGCCACCATATGAACAAATCTTGGCAGACTTCTGCAGAACAACATTATGTGGAGAGAGGCCTCCATAGCCCTAGTTGTCTCAGCTGGGACCCCAGCTAGTGAATGTAGCTCTCTTAGGTCATCCAGCCTTAGCCAAAAGAACCACCCACTCAACCCACAGAATCTCAAGAAATCATAAATAATTGTTGTTTCAGGCCACTAAGTTTTAGAGTGGTTTGTTATGTCCTTCAGAAATCAACAAGTAACTCTTAATTAGGCAGTGTAAAAATGTTTCACAGGTACAAATATTCTTTCTCCCACTCTTACTCTTCTTGGGAGACTGTTTTTTTGTTTGTTTGTTTTTTAGTTAGAGTCTCACTCCATTGCCCAGGTTGAAGTGCAGTGGCACACTCACAGCCAGCCCAGCATCGACTTGCGAGGCTCTGTCTATCTTTCCACCTCAGCTTCCCAAGAAGCCTGAACCACAGGCGTGTGCTACCACCCTGGCTAATTTTTTACTTATCGTAGAGACAAGGTCTCGCCAAGTTGCCCCAGCTGGCCTCAAATCCGTGGCTCAGGAAATCCACTCACCTCAGCCTCAAGTGCTGGGATTATCGGCTGAGCCACCGAGCCTGGCTGGGAGACTGGTATTTGATCCACCATAGAAGGTTTGTGCTGAAAGGTGAATGTAAAGCAATGGCCAGTGGACAGTGGAAGCATTTGGAGGCAGTAGAGTCTTCCTAGAGCCCCTGAAACAGTTCCTCAAAGGTGATTCAGGTTTCCCAGTTATGTGTTCTCAAACCATCATGTGCCTTTCTTTCTTTTTTATTTATTTATTTGTGAGTTAGAGTCTCACTCTGTCACCCAGGCTGGAGTACAGTGGCATGCTTACGGCCACCCCAGCATCAACCTGCTGGACTCAGGTGATCCTATTGCCTCAACCTTCCAAGTAGCCGGAACTATAGGCGTGCACTACCACGCCCAGCTAATTTCTTGATTTATTGTAGAGACGAGATCTTGCCAAGTTACCCAGGCTGTTCTTGAAATCGTGGGCTCAGGAAATCCCCTCACCTCAGCTTCCTAAAGTGCTGGGATTACAGGCTTGAGTCACCACACCCGGACAATTTTTTTTTATTTTAAAGATGTGGGTACAATTCAGGATTAGGTATACAAGTGGTCACTATGTGTGCCTTTCTGTCAGAGTACTTTGTAATTATATTTGGGTGACAATTTGATAATGTCTACACTAAACCATAAAGCTATATGTTTCATGAAGGCAAGAACTGTGGCTAATTTGCCACCAATTATATCCTGGCACATACTAGATATTCATTTGTTGAATAAATACATTTGAATTTTTTCCTACTTCATATAAGGAATCAGAAAATATCACTTAATAGTATATGTAGCTCATGGGCTTGTCTTTTGCATGTATTTCTGGCCACAGGTTACCACTTGACTCTCCAGCTATGACAGGCAATTGGGTGTAGGCTTGGGATAGGGAATCTGAATTTTGTGAGACCCCAGGACACTGGTTGTTGCAATTCCTTCTCCTTCCCCCAAACTGTTGGCAAACAAAGTCAAACAGACATTCCTCAAGACACTCCAGAAACTTGCTATCCAAGCAAGGAGCTTTGAGACAGGTAGGAACAGGTGACACGAGTGGGAGAGTCAGGTCTGCAGGATGCTAATATCATTCTATGGATGTTGTAAAGCTTCAGTTACAAAGCAATTGTGAAACCAGTGGCCCAACTGAGGTTAGTTAATGAACTCTGGGAATCCATAGGCATCTGTTACTACCATCATCTAAGGCAATCTGAATAAAAAAATCTGAAAGAGCATGAGTCAGACAAAGGTGGATTCAAATGATATCAGAAGGTGGCTTGGGCATGTTAATGCTTCCAGAACTACTTTTCCTTGCCTGCCAAATTGGGATAATAATATTTTAGAAACAGCACCTCCACTGCATTACGGGACCTTTCGGGCAGGGATCAGTTGTTTTCATCTATCTTTATCCACTACTTAATAATGCTAGGGACATAGTAGATTCTCAAACAGATGAATGTCTTCTTAAAGGCAATCCAAGATCTAGCCCTGGCTCTATCATTAATGCACTCTCAGAGGGATTAGATTTCCTCCCACTCCCTGGACCTCTACCCTGCCTTCTGCAAAATAGAAGTCTGATAGAAGATGGAGGATCCTCTCGAAGCCCCCTTCTAGATCTAATATTCAGCGAGTCTGTGACCATTCAATACACTCTACCCCATTGTGGTCCTAGAAGTTAATAAAGCTACAGACTGACGAGACAATAAAAGTCACGAATCACTTTGTATTTACAGATACACATGCATTTGAAACACATTCTGTAAATAACTACAATACTGTATTGCACTTTTGGCCTACTTTTGCCTTTTTAGAAGGCAAGAGGCTTTTTTTTTTTTTAGTTTATCTTCTTCTATTTGGATTGTTTTAGGAAGATGAAATCCAGAACAAGTTGCCACTAACACATATTACGCAGCTTGAACCTTGGTAGCTAATAGTGCTATTACTGTGATTGATGAACATTATGCTGCAATTGGCTGGAAGCTGTTGTCTTCCACTCAGCAGAAATGAGGTCACAGAGCAGGGCTGGGGAATTGCCATGTAACAAGCAGGTCTGGTTTTCTGTTGCCCAGTAGAAGAGTTTAGTACTATAATATTTAACTCTTGATTCCATCTGTTGTGAAGATGCTTGTTCCCTTGAGCTGGCTCCTGAGTCTTAAAGAATTTGACAGTTTTAAAGAAAAATGATTCAAAAAAAGAAAAGAAAGAGAATGATTCAATCTTTGCCTGGATATTTATTTGGAGATAAACTATTATTGGATATATGTACTAAAATACCCAGGGATCATGAGATCCTCAGTCTGAAATCCTAGTACTGGGATAGATGAGTGTGCCTGGAAAAAATAATAATGATCCATGTCTAATTTGCCACTAATTGCATTCTGGCACATAATAGATATTCATTAGTTGAATAAATAACTTTGAATTTTTCCTACTTCATATAAGAGTTTCAAGCCTTAAAAAATATGTATTATTTAGCCGGGCTCGGTGGCTCAGCCTGTAATCCCGTGCCTTTGGGAGACTGAGGTGAGTGGATTGCCTGAGCCCGCGGGTTCGAGACCCGCCTGGGCAACTTGGCAAGACCTCATCTCTACAATAAATCAAAAAACCCAGCCGGGCGTGGTAGTGCATGCCTGTAATTCCGGCTACTTGGAAGGCTGAGGCGGAAGGATCGCCGGAGCCCAGCAGGTCGAGGCTGCGGTGGCCGGGAGCGGCCACTGCACTCCAGTCTGGGCGACAGAGTGAGAATCCAACTCAAAAAAAAATGTATTATTTAATAATATTGTATCTCACAGGTTGATCTTTTGCATGTTTGCATCTTTACAGTGTAAAAAGCATATACAGAACCACTGCCCCGTGAAAGGACTATCTCTTCTATGGTCAGAAAATGTTGTCAAGTCACTCCCCTAAGATGCCCCATTGCTGGAGCACGGAGGCTGCTCAAAGCACTGCTTGGGAGTCTGAAACATGTTGCCTGCCAGAGGCAAATACAGGGAAAGACAGCACTTGGGTCAGAGGAGCACTGCACATTTTTTGCTCAGGCCCATGGGACCTGGTTACCTCAGAGACTGACTCTCCTTCCCTCAGAATTAGCCACCCATCATTTCATATTAGTGTGAGTAGCTGAGCAATTTGTTAACAGATTAGAGACATGTCTTTTCTCCAGTGGACTTGGAATCTGATAACACTGGAATTGAAACCTACTATGGCTTTAACACTTGCTAGCACCTATATATTTGAGTGAATTTATTCTCTTCTTGAGATCCCCAAAATATCCTAAGGTTTTTGGGCCTTCCAGAAGGTGACCTTCCTGATGAAAGGACAAAGCCAAAACAATGGAGTTACCTTGGCCATTTTGGGCAGGTGGTTTGGCATTGGCTCATACCTTTGTCTTGTTATAACTATGGATTAATGATATGTTATAGTGAATGATGTCTTATTCATAATAGGCTCTGTTAACTCTCTTGCACTGTGGTAAGTTTGATTGACTCCTTTGGAGTTGCTGATAAGTAAAAGCTGTGAGGGAAAAAAAAAGCATACTTGCTAGCTATGTGATCGAAGTCTCTTAATCTCTCTGGATCATAGTTTATCTATAAAAATGCAATATAAAATGTGGCTAAGAGTACAGACTTTGGAGCCTACTGCCTGGGTTTGAACTCCAGTTCTACCATTTACTCATTATGTGATCTTAGGCAAACTAGAAACTTTTTGTTCCTTCATTTCCTTATCTTTAAATGAGGTTGAGTAGAGTGCCTCTTTCACAAAGATGTCAGGAAGGCAAGTGAGTTAATACATGTCAAGTGCTTGGAACAAGCACTTGTACTCTAGTACAGAGTAAGCATGACACCAGTGTTCACTCAAATAACATTGGGATGTGAATCCTGATTTCTTGGATTCATTTGGTGGATCAGCTGAAGTGGTGAAGGTGAAAAAAAGTCCCAGAGTTATTAGTGCCAAAAGGGACCTTAGAGATCATCCAAATAAACTCCCTCATTTTATAAGAGTGAAATCAAGATTCAGAGAAGGGAAGTAATTGCTCCAGAGTCACACTTGATTTAATGGCGGAGTCTAGGTCTCCTGATTCCAAGTCCAAAGCTCTGTTCTCTGCATTGCATCAAAGAAAGCAATATCTCCATAGAGCTGACTCTGGAAGAAACTTTTATTTTGTCATTGGACCTGTGCTAGTTCATGTACTTTCTCGGAACAATGAGTTGCATTTGCAATGGAGAGAAAACTGGGGAGAAATTTAAAAAAAGAAAAAAGAAAACTGGGGAGATACTCCCTGCCCACCTCCCAACTTCTGAGGTGCCATGCTAGTGCAGGGAGAGGCTGAGGATTCAGGTCATGGGTTTAGAAGAAAAGTTTTCCAGATTCATTGCCAGTTTCATGTCATTATTTCAGCTAAAACCCAAATATGTGGCTGTGGCCAAGCAAGCTAGAATCATGAGCTAATCCATTCTGGTCTCAAAGTTCCTTTTTTTTCCTTTAAGTGTTTAATTAAGGAGTTTCTACCAAAAGTGGTTTTTCATCTGCTCTTTGGTAGAAACTAAGGTTTCACTCTCAGGGGAATGAGGTTGGGATTGGGACCTCTGAGTTCAGTTCCCCATTTTTTTTAGTGCCATGCCCCCGTAGATTCATTCTGTTTTGAATCACACTCTCTGGTTAGACTGCTCAGGAGACATTGAGAAACAGGTTGGAGGAAAGAGGCAGTATGAAGAATGGCAAACGAAATTTATAGAGGTATATGACCTAGAGAAAGGGCGTGTCCTAGGGGTATTAAATCCTGTTATTAAATCATCTAAGCGTGTCACAGAGCAGAGGGGGCAGAGACCGCGAGATCTCTGACAACAGAGCTGGTACAAATGGGGTGGGAAGAGAAAGAATTTCCAGAAAGCAGATTTCAGCTTGAAGCAAGGAAAAACATCTGACTTTGAGAGCTGGCCAAAGATGGAAAACACACTGAGCTCCTGTCCCTAAAGCACCTAGAAGGTGGGCTTTAAAAGAGATTTGGTTGTGAGGTCTGATAGTCACTTGTCAGAGATAGAAAGGTTAGGAGTGACTAGTCAGACTAGACAGAGTTGGGTGGGGATCTCACCAACTCTAACATTTTTAGATTCTAGGAGTCTTTTAACCAATGACTAATTTCAACAAGTTCGCAGTAAAGAACCATCTGGAAAGCAGCATAATCAGAAACTCATGATCTGTTTCTTTATCTTGCCTATGTTTCTCTTTGTCTTTCTTGTGCTCACTTGCTTGCTCTTTCATATAACAGGAACCTTTGACATTTTGCAGGGGAATAATCTTTTTCTTTTAAGTGTGTTTCTGACTCAGCCTTTTCTCCTTCGGCATCATTAGAGAGTCTGAGCTCTCTGAAGATTAGCTCTGCCTGTCACCACAGCAACTGCCCAGTCCTTGTGGGCATCTGTGGCAACAGGCACGGAGCTTTGAGAGCCCAAGCTTGACTTGCTGTGAAAGAAAGCGCCACAGGGAGTCTGATCCGAAACAAGCATGTTACGTTTTGGGAGGTCTTAATAGGATTAGCTGTGCAGGTGACCCTCACTTTACGCAGTTGACCAACCCCATAAAAGTGTATGTCAGATTTGGGTAAATGGAGGAACTCTCATTTTAAAGGCAGAAAAGAGAGTCACTTTTCAAGTCCCTGTAGTGAAAGAGAGTCTTCTTTTGTAAAGTGAATCTCCACCCATGTAACGACCTGTGCTTTACTCTAGCGCTGAGTGTGTATTATTGGGGCCATCTGCAGAGAACCTCAGGGGCCGGCAAAGGACAGTAGCAATTCATCTTGCTCGGGGCTGGGAGTGGACAGTGTGTAACAAGAAGAAGCAGAGTGGGTGTGGGGCCACAATGAGGGGAAGTTAGGAGGGCGGGCCTTGCCTAGCATGAGCAGTTCTGCTGCAGCAGGGGCGGGGTGTCCGAGAGACGTGTGTTCTTGGAAGCACCCAGCATGGAGGGGTCCGTGTCCAGTGAATCAGACATCTTGTCACAAATGGCATCTACCAGGCGCTCGAAGGCCTGCCTCACACTGATGTTCTCCTTGGCACTGGCTTCAAAGAAATCAAACCCTGGGGAGAGAAGAGAGACAGATAAGATTTTTCCCATCCCTTCAGCTGAAACCCTTCCGTACCACCAGCCCAAGCACTCTGAATGAATACGGCCAGTACTCAGATGTGAAGCAAGGAGGCCTAACACCATGGATAAAGGATGTAGCTTTAAGGACTTGGCACAGGGCGGAACACTTTAACTTTCTCGTTGCGATCCCTAAACTATTCTAGGAGCTTTATAAATATCATCTTCTTTAGTCTACATGACAGCCTGTTGGGTAAATATCATCATCTCCAACTTGCAAATGAGAACATGCTGGCTCCAAGATTTTACACAGCTCACACGTCACGTGGTTGTATTAGTGGAAATTGGGTTTAGACCTGGGTTTGGCTATCTTCAAAGCCATAAGCAGCTCTGCCCCTCATTCCTCCTCTTTGCCCCCCTTTGCTTTTATCTGACTTCTGAGTCTGAGTCTGGGCAAGTCACTCAGATTCAAAATCTCAACCTCTCTGATTCCGACACCTTGTTTGTCAAATAAGAATAGCAATTTCTTCCTACATAGAGCAGTTGGGAGGAGTGAGTGTGGTGATGGATAAATTGCTGTACTAGAGTTTCTTGCGATCATGACAATTTCTTTCTGCTCCTCTTCTTTTATCTTGCTCCTCCCACCTCCTCTTCATCTCTTTCTCCCTCTTTTATCATCTTCTCCCACAAAGGAGGGCATCAATTTCCTTCTCCCTGTTATTCCACTGCCCGGGGAGGCCTGAAACCCCAGCTTGAGGCACTCACAGCCCCTGCCAGCCCACCTCCGGTTGACAGCCTCTCCTGCGGTCCCATTTCCAGACCTGAGAAAGGCAAGCTACAGAAGTGCCTGTATGTGTGATGAGGAAGGAAGCAGCTGCTGGTCATGGAAACCCAGGCTTCAGAGACTCTGTAGCATAGAGTTTTTCCTTAATGATTATCACAAAAATTGGCTCCTTTGACTGCCATACTGCAAGCAGCAGCATTTGGGGAGATGGAGGGAGTGTATTGCTTGCTTAGAAAAGAGGAACACAGCCGGGCTCAGTGGCTCAGCCTGTAATCCCGCACCTTTGGGAGGCTGAGGTGAGTGGATTGCCTGAGCCCGCGGGTTTGAGACCCGCCTGGGCAGCAAGACCTCATCTCTACAATAAATCAAAAAATCAGCTGGGCGTGGTAGCGCATGCCTATAATTCCGGCTACTCGGAAGGCTGAGGCGGAAGGATCACCGGAGCCCAGCAGGTCGAGGCTGCGGTGGCCGGGAGCGGCCACTACACTCCAGTCTGTGCAACAGAGTGAGACTCCAACTCCAAAAAAAAAAAAAAGAAAAGAGGAACACAAGTAAAGAAGTAAATAGATTTTAGCCATTCATTTGGATGAAGGTGAGGACACAGGTCAAGGCCAAGGGCACAAATCCCTTCTGAGAAATAGGCACTAAGGGGAGGACACATGACATTGTGCAGATGGGCATTGGGAAGAGACTTGGGAGTCAGCCTGGATTTGAATATAGTTTCTGTCAGTTACTAGCTGTGTGATCTTGGGCAAGTTAAATAATTGTTTTCAGTCTCTGTTTCCTCATACACAGAATGGAGTGACTATTATCTATTTCATAGGGGGGAAATGAGAATTCTATGCACAAAATTATGTGAGGAGACTGCCATGTGAAATACATGGCAATTCTCTTTCCCATATGTTCTTGGTCCATCCTGAACATTGACCTTGTGCCAGTTCTCTCTCTTTTTTTTAAAGTCAGAGTCTCTGTCGCCCAGATTGGAGTATAGTGGCACGCTCACAGCCACCCCAGCGTCGACCTGCTAGGCTCCGGGGATCCATCCGCCTCAGCCTTCTAAGTAGCCGAAACTATAGGCGCGAGCTACCATACCTGGCTAATTTTTTTATATATTGTAGAGACGGGACAAGTTGCCCAGGCTGCCTCAGTCTCCCAAAGTGCTGGGATTATAGGCTTGAGCCACCAAGCCCGGCCGGACCTTGTGCCAGTTCTTGTGTTGAGCATTAGGGATACAGGGGGATCAAATCTGGTTGTGAAGAAGACACACTAATAAGAGTACCTACTTCTCACACCTGCAGTTCACAGGAACAGCTCATAAAAACAATTTTAAAACAAGCTTGTTAGGGGAGTGAGGCAAGACAAAAGTTATCACTTGTCATTTGCAGACAGGAAAATCGAGATTCAGTGATGGGCCAGGGCTCTATCCCTCATGCCTCCTTGTCTTACTCTTAGCTGGGATGGTGACAATAAACTGTAACATTCTAATCCAGGTAGAGCAAACCAGAGGTCATGCAGGAATGCAAGGAAGGGAGAGAGTGGCAGGAGAGGAGAGAGGAAGGAAACTTTCTGAAGTTAGTGAGGATGTGAACCTTTAAAGTCAGAACTGGGCAAAACTCTTCACCTAACCTCTCACTCTTCAGGACTCAGCGTAGACATGGTCTCTTCATTCTCCTCTGTGCTTCCTTCTGCCACAGCATTTTTTAACCTGCATGGCAGAAGTCCATTTGACAGGGAGCTCCCAAAGCAGGGACTAGGTCATTCATCTGAGCCCCAGCTCCAGCTGGGGGACTAGGAGCTTAGTGACACTGGTAGAATGAATAGTTGAATGAAGGAGGTGGGAATAAGCATGGAGGGTGTGGTTGAGGGAATGTGGACAATAGGAGTCATGAAAGCTCAGCTCAACAAGCATGGCAGACCCTGTGATTGGCACCAGGGACACTGAGGTGAATCAGACACAGTACCTACCTTTGAGAAGTTCCTAGTCTAGTGTGAAAGATAGACATATGGACACTAGCACAGAGTGGTAAGTGTTGGGACAGAGGGAAGTCAGAGGATTGTCAAGGCACAGAGGAGGCACCTATCCAAGCATGGGGGCCAGGGAAGGTTTTTGGAGAAGCTGATGCCTAAGCAGATATCAGCTGGACAAAGACATGTGACTGTGAATGTATGTGTGAGCACAGGCATGTGTAGCAGAGTAGGCAGGGAAAACAGCATGCACACAGATAAGCGGGCAAAACACAGCCTTGGAAGATGCCAGAAGGACCACAGCAGCTTGTTATCCTCAGAGCAGAAAACCCAAATTGGTGAGAGATGAGTCAGTGGCAGGCCAGACATGGAGAGCTCTTATGTCATGCCAAGGAGATATCTTTACTGTCGTCACAAAGGTACCCAAAGTGTGAGAACTCCAATTCAAGTTACCAGCTCATGGGTCTAGCAAGTCAAGGGTCTCTTTTGCTCAGTAGAACAACCCCAAATGCTCTCCCACCCAATTACTGTCAGATTCCTGAAAGGTAACCTTTCCCTCAGGTTCATTAATAAGGATTCTCAGGAGCTGGGAATCTTAGTGAGGTCAGGAAGATGACAACCAATTAAGCAGAATAGCCCCCAGTCCTTTGCTTCTTCTAATTGGCTTCAGAACAATGAGATTTTTGCTCTTTTAATAATTAAGGCTCAATTCTTAACTGAATCTGAGATGTTCCCCAAACCCTCCAGATGAACATGTATACCTTTCCAGTCCAAAGGCAGTTGTTACAGACCCTCCACTGTGTCCACACTACCTGTTTCTGAATTTGACCTCAGAATTGTATTCAGAAACTTGCAACCAGCTAAACTCACCTCTCCTCATCCCAGTACTGCTCCAGGACATTCCTGCTCCATCATTATGTTCAAATCCCTTCTCTATCCTTTCTGACACCTCCTCATCTCTATCATTTATCAATCTGTAGCTCACACTCTTCTGGTCACTGATGATTTTGGCAAGGGATTCACAGTCTTCCTTTCTACACAGGCTTGCTCTCACTCTCAGAAACTGTCATGTGGACAATTCATCCAACACCTTGGACTATTTAATTACTTGACCATCTCATCTCCAGTGACCTTCTCTCCCATTTTCCTTCAGCTATGCACTGCCCTTATAACTTGAGCTATTTTGATTGGATTTATGTCACTGTAATCGAAAGAGATCTGATTAATTCAATATTCAATCTCACTGGCTTATCACCCAAGGCAATGCATGGCGTGGCCTCTGGCTACTTTCCCAGCTTTATCTTCCTCACACTATGTTCCAGAAACATCAACACTTTGTCATTGTGTGCCTTTGCTCATGTTTTTAATCTCTAGCTCCTACGCCCAAACATCTTCATTACTCACCTGTGGAGTCTTTCCTTTCTCTTCCCCACCACATTGGCACCACTCAGAACATACGGTGTATCTCTCCTCTGTAATCCTCCTAGGCACTTTGCATGATTGTCTCAGTCAAGTTCCAGTCAGAAAACTGGGAACTATTCTCATCATTTAAAACAGAGGAACTTGGTCAGGCACAGTGGCTCAAGCCTATAATCCCAGCACTTTGGGAGGCCGAGGTGAGGGGATTGCCTGAGCTCACGGGTTCAAGAACAGCCTGAGCAACTTGGTGAGACTTCATCTCTACAATAAATAAAAAAAATTAGCCAGGCATGGTAGCTCGTGCCTGTCATTCCAGCAACTTGGAAGGCTGAGGCGGAAGGAGCACCTGAGTCCAGCATGTTAATGCTGGGGTGGCCATGAGTGAGCATGCCACTGCACTCCAGCCTAGGTGACAGAGTAAGACTCCAACTCAGTGAAAAAACAAAACAAAACAAAAAACAAAGGGACTTGATTATATAGGTGAGAGAAGAACTAAAAAGCTAAACAGAATAGTGAGGAAACCCAGAAACTATCAACAGCATCGAGCGCCAGGAAGCTAGAAACATGGGAGCAAGAGTTAGAGAAGAAAAAGTAACCTCCACTGGAGAAGCCAGTCAAGATGTGGGAAAATACCTAGATCGCTCCCTTTTTCCCAACTCCAGTCACCTGCCAGTGTCTTCCCTTGGTTAAACCCAGCCAGAAGCCACTGTCACAGGAGCCTGGAAAACACAGCCTGCAAAGGTCACCTTCCCAGAAAGGGCTGCAGGAGACATAGCAGGAAAAGGGTGAAGCATGACAGCAAACAGGCTAAGGACTGCAGCAGCCATC